TAGCTCGTTTAAAACAAACCAAACAGCCTCAAAATGAGCTCGTTTAATCCTCTGAACTGTAAATACTTTTTAAACACAGTTTGTGTTTAAATAGTTCTCGTTTCCCCTTGTCTTGTGCCAGTTCGTTTTCATCCTTTCGTCCTTCTTGTTGCGTCTCTCTTCCCTCATCTTTCGTCTGCCCTCGTCAGGTTTGATTTTTGCCATAGCCATGTTTTGTCACTGTCTTGTTAATCTTTATTTTGTTACTTTGTCACAGTCATAGTTTTGCCATAGCCATGTTTTGTCACTGTCTTGTTAATCTTTATTTTGTTACTTTGTCACTGTCATAGTTTTGCCACAGCCGTGTTTTGACCCTTGTCTGGACTTCCACCTTTTGTTGCAATAAACCCTGTTTTTCCGTCATCTCCGCGCCTTTTAATGGTGTTGAGCCACAAACAGCCTCAAAATGAGCTCGTTTAAAACAATCAAACAGCCTCAAAATTAGCTAGTTTAAAACAACCCAAACAGCCTCAAAATGAGCTTGTTTAAAACAAACCAACAGCCTCAAAATTAGCTAGTTTAAAACAAACCAAACAGCCTCAAAATTAGCTCGTTTAAAACAAACCAAACTGCCTCAAAATTAGCTCGTTTAAAACAAAACAAACTGCCTCGAAATTATCTCGTTTAAAACAAAACAAACAGCCTCAAAATTAGCTCGTTTAAATAAACCAAACAGCCTCAAATGAGCTCGTTTAAAACAAACCAAACAGCCTCACAATTAGCTCGTTTAAAACAAACCAACAGCCTCAAAATGAGCTCGTTTAATCCACTGAACTGTAGTTACTTTTTAAACACAGTGCCGTAGACTTACCTTCCCGACCAGCTCTTCCAGTCTGGGAACTGGTTTTCCTTTCTGGTGTCTCTCAGTTGGAGGAGACTGGCCGTCCCAGCCGTTCAGCTCCAGGCTCCTCAGGTACAGCAGGGCTTTCAGACCTAAAACCCAAGTGTGAGCACTAATACCACATTTATTTACTCTGAATAAGATATAAGGATCACATACCCAGACAGTAATCCTCAATCAGAGTGAAGTCCTGGTTCTGGACTGCACTGCACACCTGTAGAGAGCAGAAAAAAAAACCCCAGATCAATTTTCAAAATCAATAAGAAACACAATTACAACTTTTCTTATTCTCTTCTGTACCATATACACTCTTTTTATAATATGGCATCTTGCTTTAACTCTGCCCTTTGACATCTATATAAGATACTCGAACCAGAATTTCCTTTAAGGAGTAAAGGGATAAAGCTGGGGGCAACAGGAAACATGTATATGTCCCTGCATTTGTGGGAAATAATGGGATTAACCTTTTCACATCTGTATCTGGAACTTTAAATCTAGGCGTCGTTACACCAAAAATACCAGACTGGTCTTGTATTACCTGTAATCTATAATTTAATCTGAATATATACCTGTAGCACGGAGGCCCCAGCGTGCAGGAACTGGTCTTGTAATACCTGTAATTCTTAATTTAATCTGAATATATACCTGTAGCACGGAGGCCCCGGCGTGCAGGAACTGGTCTTGTAATACCTGTAATCTATAATTTAATCTGAATATATACCTGTAGCACGGAGGCCCCGGTGTGCAGGAACTGGTCCTGTTGTTACCTGTAATTCCTAATTTAATCTG